GATGAGAATAAAACAGATGAAATCGGGCAGAGCATAACAAAGCAGGCAAAGAGGAAGAAGGCCAAGAAGGAAAAGAACAAAACTCTTAAAACAGGTGCAAAAAAGAGGTCCGCAAAGGCTAAAAAACATAAGGAGATTGCTCTGGAAGAGGAAAAGGAACACGACCTTATTGAAGGAACAAAACTCCTCAATGTGACAGATGATCAAGTAAGAAAAATAACCACAGGAAAGAGGAGGAAACATAGATCAAAGATCCCATCCCAAAGCCTACTTGAGTGGGATAAAGAAGACAATAATCTGGAAATCACACCTTTTCCAATACTAAACCTCAAACCAGTTGAGGTTAGAGGAGAAAAAGGAGAGCATAAACTCAATACAGACATTCCACTGAAGTACACTCATTCACACCAGGGAAGTCCCTAACGCAAATCTCTGGTGGCATAGGTGGATACAGGGAGCCAGGCAGAACAACTACGGAAGTTGACACAGACATGGTACCAAACACACAGGATCCAAACCCATCACAACAAAATGATGAAGATGACAAAGTCAGATCAGATGACGAAAATATGAGAAGACCACACAGGGCATTAAATTTCGAAACTGGAGAAAATACAATGTCCATTGTCCAGAATAGAATATCTCAGTTTAACAATCTATCCCCCAGGGGAACACAGGGGCTTGGTGGACAAAGTCAGTGGGCATCACCAAACACAAACAAGCAGAAAAAAAAGGGGTCAAAGACCTCCGCCCTAAATATTTCTCATGATTAATACATTGTCATGGAACATAAGGGGCATGAGGTCCCAACAAGCTTCAGAGAGGCTTAAAACACTTCAAAATCAATACAAACTTCCACTTATAGCTTTACAAGAACCTATGGTCAGATCAACAAAAATTGAAAGGTTTCGATTTCGGCTGGGAATGCACCATTGCTTTTACAACTGTAACAACAAAATTTGGTTATTCTGGACATCCGACATACAACTGGATATTTTGGAAGATGCAGAACAACATGTCACGTGTAAAGTTACACTGCCGTTGAACCCCGCCACAATTCATATTACCATAGTATATGCAAAATGTACAAGAGAAGAAAGGAGACAGCTATGGGATGACTTGAGAAACTAGGGACATAGAATCCAAGGCCCTTGGGGTGTTATGGGAGACTTTAATGTGATACTAGAGGCAGAAGAGAAAAAAGGGGGCAGACCTTTTAGAATCGACAAAAGCGTAGATTTTATAAACTACATAGAAGACTGTGGACTTCAAGACGCGGGATACTCAGGGAACATTTATACCTGGAGTGACAATAGAGGCTTCCCAAACACAATCTGGATGAGGCTGGATAGGCTGCTCATAAACTCAGAATGGTTCGATATGTTTAATGAAACAACGGTCCAGCATCTAGCTAGAGTGAGCTCGGATCATGTGCCACTGCTAATTACTCTAAAATCATCGGATAACGGGGGACCTAAATACTTTAAATTCCTAGACTTCTGGACTAAGCATGAAAACTTCAAAAAAGTGGTCCAAGAAGTATGGGAGGAGCCAGTAGAGGGCAATGCCATGTGGAAACTTCATCAAAAACTCAAAAGGACATGCCAAAAACTAAGTAAGTGGTCCAGAGAAGCGTTTGGAGACATATACGAGGTACCAAAGAGACTAGAGAAACATATTGCGGAGCTTGAAAAGGAGTTATATTTGGATCACTCGGCAGAAAAAAGAGCAGAATTGAATAAGTGCAAAGCAAACTACCTCCAGTTTCTCGAGCTTCAAGAGGCAGTCCTTAGACAGAAGGCTAAGGCCAATTGGCTAAAAGAAGGAGACAGGAACACAACTTACTTCCACAATACTATAAAGGGGAGAAGGAAAAGGCTGAATATTCAAAGAATACAGGACGATAATGGAAACTAGATAGAAGGGAGCACGGAAATTGCAGATGCTGCTATAGAGCACTTCCAGAGAATTTTCAGTCACCATAGTGCGTCAGATAATTTCTCAACCCTAGACAACATAACAACTAGGATTACAGAGGATGATAATTTTATGCTCACAGCAGTGCCAGACCTAGAAGAAGTGAAACAAGCAGTATTCTGTATTAGCGCAGAGAGTGCCCCAGGCCCAGATGGCATTGGTGCCTTATTTTACCAAACATGCTGGCAAATAGTTCAAAATGATGTTTATGACTTTGTGGTGGCCTTCTCTGAAGGGGCTGCTATCCCTAGGTTCTTCTCGCACACATGCTTGGTGATGATACCAAAAACCGAATTCCCACAACACCTAACAGACCTAAGACCAATCAGTTTGTGCAATGTGTCAAGCAAGATCTTGGCTAAGGTGTTAAATACAAGACTGTCCCAATTGCTGCCAAGAATTATATCGAGCAACCAATCAGGCTTTATCAGAGGTAGACTAATCTCTGAAAATATAATGCTGGCACAAGAGATGCTGAAAGGAATACGAAAACCAACTCAAGGTGGAAATGTGGTACTGAAACTTGATATGGCAAAGGCATACGATAGAGTTTCCTGGCCTTACCTGTGCAAACTAATGGAGAAATTGGGCTTCTCAGAGGTATGGATTGACATGATCCACAGACACATATCAAGCAACTGGTATTCATTAATTGTAAACGGCCAAAGGCATGGTTTCTTCAAATCAGAGAATGGCTTGAGACAAGGCGACCCTATATCGCCATCATTATTTGTTCTAAGTGCCGAATTGTTATCCAATATGTTGAACAACCTCTATGAGAATAGAAGATTCACAGGTTTCTACATTCCGAGGCAAGGACCGCAAGTCAATCATCTAGCCTTTGCGGACGACATGATACTATTTGTTAGCGGCAAAAAGAAGACAATGAGGCTAGTTATGAAGACTTGGACAAAATATGAAAAATATCAGGCCAGCAGATTAATAAAAGCAAGAGCTGTATCATGGTGGCTCCGGGAATACTCCCGGGCAGAATAAGAAGGATTTCCTCCATTACAGGAATGCAACACAAACAGTTCCCAGTCAAATACCTGGGATGCCCACCATTCGTAGGGAGACAAAAGATAGCCTATTTCTCCGAGATGATCAACAAAGTAACTAGCAGAGTAAAAGGATGGCAAAACAAGTTTCTGTCACCTGGAGGTAAGGTTATACTCATTCGGCATGTCCTTCCAAGCAATTCCCATTCACACACTCTCAGCCACCTAATGGGGTGCTGACACAAATTGAAAAGACACTAGCAAATTTCTTCTGGAGAGGAATGGATGGGAAAGATAGGCACCATTGGGTCGCATGGAAGACACTATGTCAACCATATAGCGAAGGCGGAGTTCAAATTAGAAGACTCCAAGACATTTGCTCGGCGTTCACAGCAAAAACATGGTGGAACTTGCGAACTGGGAACTCTCTATGGAGAAGCTTCATGATTGCAAAATATTGCAAAAGAAGACACCCACTAGCCTCATAATGGCATGCAGGTCAGTCGCAGAGCTGGAAGGCAATGTGTGACATTAAGCTGGAAATAGAACAAAGCATGGTGTGGATACCTGGGCAAGGGAATATATCCTTTTGGTTCGACAATTGGACAAAACAAGGGCCCCTCTTTAGCCTCTTACCAGCTGGAGTCAACCCCAATGATGTCAAGCTCAGTGAAGTACTGGTTGAAGGCGAATGGCAAATGGAATTGGGGATAGAGGTCCCAACAGCTATAAGAAATATTTTGGAGGAACACCATACAGTGCTCTACCCTGAAATTCAGGATAAAGTAGTATGGACTGAAAATAGCAATGGGAAGTTTTCTGTAGCCACAACTTGGGATCTACTAAGGCAAAGAAAAGAAGTTGCTTTCATCGATTCAAAAATTTGGCACAAGAATACTCCATTCAAAATGGCCTTCGTGACATGGAGGGTGCTACACAATAAGATGCCCACAGATGAGAAAATAGCAAAACTTGGTTACACAATTCAACCAAGATGCTACTGTTGCACTCCAACCTCAACAACACTAGAAACCTCAGCACATCTATTTTGGGAAGGTACATATGCTCAAGATATCTGGAAAAAATTTGCTGCCCCGTTTGGTCTACAAGTTGGAAACCAACAGTACAACCATATACTTCTCCAATGGTGGAACCACAAATATATGAATCTGGTGACAGCCTTCATGGCTAGGGTATTACCTGCAATCATAACATGGGAGCTGTGGAGATCCAGATGCGCCTCAAAGTATGGGGGAGAAGCACCACAGAGCAGGAGAATCGAAAAGCTTATAACTGCAAATCTAGTAGAGGTAGTCAGACAGAAGTTTGGAAAGCTACAACAACTCTCGTGGGATCAGTTACAAAAACTCATTGATCAACCTATGGTGCATAGAACTAGTAAGCTGGTGAGATGGGTGAAACCACCACCAATGTCCTATAAGCTAAATAGTGATGGAAGCTGCCAAGAAGGGAATAGTGGAGCAGGAGGAATTATAAGAGACAGTTTTGGAAATTTCGTCTTAGCATACTCATGCTTTCTGGGAAAGGGAACAAGCAACGAAGCAGAGGGTAAGGCCATGCCATTGGAGCTCAAGTTCTGGGTGGAACGGGCTTGAGTAGAATTATTGCGGAGGCAGATTCAGCACTACTCGTAGCCTGCGTCAAGGAGGAAGGTGAAATACCTTGGAGAATAATGCAGACGGTAAGTCAAATCAAACAACTAATGAAAATCAAAGAAATTGTTCCAAGACACTGCTGCCGAGAAGCAAACAGAGTAGCGGATAAACTAGCAACAATGAGCCATACACATAGAAGTAACATCATCTTCAATCAGTTTAGTGATCTACCGAGACAAGTGAGAGGGCTATTGAAATTGGACAAATGGGAAGTCGCCTCCTTCAGAATCCGTCAACTCAAGGCAGTAGAGATAACATTTGAGCTACCATGAACCTAATAAAGGCCACACGATTGATCTTTTAATTGTTAGTTCACAGTTCTTTGTTTAGAAGGTTGGATTCCAGCCTATCATTATTATGGGAAGGTAAGCTAAATGCCCCCCTTCCACCCATGTTCTTGCTTCACAAAAGGAAATAAAATACACTATTTACTTTAAAAAAAAAAAAATTACAGACCAATTAATTTGATAACACATAATCAATCAATTTTACATCACGATACTAAAATCACAACTCAATTTGTTTAAGGTAAAAATCATTTCTATACACTAAACTTCTATTTTTTCTGAAATCACGACTTTATTTCAACACATGGAATCCATACTCGGGCTTGCAATTTCTCATGCTTTCTAGATCTTCAATCCTTTCACGTTAAGTACATCACCAACAACAGACTTAGTATAAATTCCCATGAGCTTAATAATTACACGACAAATAACATCATGAGGGATTTAAATGTTAATTATTAGGATGCTTTAATAGGATAAATGAATATCAATAGCAACTGAATTATCTTGAGAATGGTTTCAATCAAAATTTTAGCTAATGATCAAACAGACAACAACTAAGACAGCAACTGGTACTAACAGAGGAACACAGGTAAGCATATATAGGCAAACAAATTCAAGGAACTCAGAAAAATAAGCATAATCATGGAATCAGCAAACTAAACTTCATTTACATATTCAAAGAGAGATACAGATGTGGTTTTGGTTTACCTAACAGCTGAAACTTAAAGCAAACGACCAAATAAAGGTCTTAAGCAGAATCACAACAAAATTCAGCTAGGATTTGAGAATGAACAGCAGCAGAAAATCGCACACCACAGCTCTAAGTATTAATCTCAATACTCCATAAATATACCAAGATCAATGAAACTCTAATGCAAAATCGTTGCCAAATGGGAGAGGAGTTCTAATTTTTAGAAAAAAGTGCTGAAGTATGAAAATCTATCTCAAAATCAGCCTCAACAGAAAAGAAGATAAATTTTCAGAGAGTTTTTTGGTGCCAAAATCCGTGTGTCTTCATGAGAGGGTAAGACCATCTCCAAGGCTGCACCATTTCTTGCACCAAATCCAAATTTGGTGCAAGAAATGGTATTTTTTTGCTCAAATGCAACACTATTTCTTGCACTATTATAGAGCATGAATAGTGTTGCACCATTCATCACTCTATATTTGGTTTATTAATATTTTATTCAATCTTTTTATTTTTGTAATTTTAATTTATGATATATTGTGTATATAATTAATTTTTATATTAAGATCTTTATAATTTAAATTTTATATCCTATTTTTTGATATATTAATTTTTGTATATATTATATTTATATAAAATTATAAGTTAATTTTATTATTATTATAATTGTATAAAAAGAAATATAACCATTATTTAAAAATAAAAAATGCAAATGTAAGATATCTAATGTTGCTAAAATTGAAAAGTGAAAACTAAAATTAAAAAAAGAAAATTAACAATACATAAAATAAAAATACATTATAATTAAAGTACATAAAAGGAGGATACATTAAAATTGAAATTACATTAAAAACATAAAACATAAGTTTAGTAATCCTCTATGTCATTTCGCACTTCGCAATGCATTAATCGAGCATTTATGGGAGAATAGAGGCGAAAGTTAAATATTTGTGGTACTTAAATTAAATTTGACTATGATGTAATATTTATTTAATTATCTTTTATCAATGATTTCACTTTTAGTTGATTTATCCTTTAAAATAATTTTGTAATAAATGATTATATAAGTGGTGAATGTGAATTATATATAATGAATATGGAAAAAAGAAAAAAGATAGTATTAGTTTGAAGGAAATAAAAAATGAAAAGTAAATAGAAGATAATTGTTATAAATAGAATTTTATTTATGGTGAATGTCTATATTTAGGGAGATTCTAGGGTTTATTACTTGGTGGCTAAGTCACCCTCTCCCTATAAATAGAGGGTTCTATTCCATTGTAATTCATCCCAAATCAATAAGAACTCTCTCTCTCTACTTTTCTCTACAATACTATTCTTCTTCTTTTATTGTTTCATAAAACGTTATCAGCACGAGACTCTAACCAATTGAGTTGAAGCTTTGAGATTGAGCATAATGATTGTCAATTATTCCATAAACTTCCTTCATGATTAAATTCTGGATTTAAGGTAAGTATTTTACCATATTTTTCTCTTTTATTCTATACTTTGATTTTAAATATAAGCAAAGACAACAAAGTTTGATTATAACTCTAATGGAGTTTGTAAGAAATTATAACCACCTGAAGTGGCAAAATTTCTATGCCTCGCCATGATCAAATTCATGTATGATTGTGGGCAAAGAATTGAAAACCCGTCCCATTGAATTTGCTCCATTCTCATTCCCTTAAGAGAATGTGATAGCAGTATGTGATAAGTCTGAAAGAAGACAAAATTATTACTATGAATGTATCAATGGATATGGACGTGGCAATAGACGAAATTATAATCGTCATCATTTGTGGTAATGAGAACAATAAGGATTCTCAAAATAATCTTTCACTCTGTGAAAAATATTTGTCATCGATTTGACATGAGATTATATAAAGCACATATAGATGATTATGGTCAATTCATGATGTGAATGTGACAACATCTGATTTATGAATACATATTCATTCTTGGAAGAATATGAACGTGCTAGTGGTAATGAATATACCACGCTCACCTCTAGAAGGAGGTTTGAGATGATAAAAGAAAAAAAATGTCATTATTATGACATGAATGGTCATTGGTCACGTACTTATTGAACGCCAAAATATTTTGGTAATGTGACTATTAAAGAATAACATTAATGCAAGAAACATATCTTGCATATAATTTGACCATAACCATAATGGTATAACTTTCTCTTTAAAAGAGATATTCACCATATGGATGTTGATGAATATGTGGTAGTACAAAATTAATTGAGAGCTCTGGAAGAGCCAATTATTACTATTTTGAAGGAACAAAATTGAGTATCAATAAGGCATTATGTTGTAGTAAGTCTCAAAGAAACTTAATTGAGTTTCTAAAGTATTCGCGAAAGCGGTTGGTCATACTGAGACTATAAATAAAGGAAAGATTTAATATCTTCTATTACTACAACTTGTAGCGGGGTAATATGTATGTGAAAAGCTACCCGCTTTATTCTCCAGTTTATACTACACAAACAAAAGAATGCCACAATAAAGAGAAGTTTATTGATATAAAAACCCATATCATAATAAACTTGGAGTTTATTGATAATTGCACACGTCATGGTGTAAATCTGAAGTTTATCAATATTGATAATTTATTCAGTTGGCATAATTGGTTTACCCATATCAATTTAAGTATGATGTGCAAAAATAAAAGAGAATTCGCATGGGTAAATATTAAAGAACTAGAAAGTTCTTTACGAATTCTCTTATGTTGCATATTCTCATTAATTAATATACCAACTAAAATTGGGATTGGATCCCATGAATGCTGGAAATATCAAAGAGGAATATGGGCCCATTCACCTGCCATGTATACCACATAAGATGCATCTATGAGATGGTTACATGTGCGATTATTAATAACCCGCAACATGGTGTTTTGCGAGGTAACTTGCTCAATAATTTAATTTCGAGCATAATTTTCAGATTTTCTATTCAAGATAGTTTATCTTGATAAGTTGGTTTACATCACAACTCGTTTAGCAAAATGATTTATTGAGTGCCTCCACTTAATAGCTAAATAAATGCTTATGAGAACAAAGTTATCTATATCAGTTTGATATACGTTATATACGAAAGTATATTATTTTCTTCCCTCACAAGTGGTTCAGGGTCAGGAACCAAATAATTCCATCTTATTATTATTGATGTGCGGTGATATTATGATTAACACCATAACGCACAAAGATGGGTTCTCAAAGTTGAGGAAAACAAGTTAGTTTTTCTAACAAGAGGGGGAGACATGATAAACAATTGAGAAAAAGTTACGTGGAAAGAATTATCATTTGTACATCTAGATCCTCGAATAGATAATATGAACTTGAAGTTCATAAAAGATAATTCATCTGCAATATATTGCAATGCATGCCAGACGCATTTGCTGACCCAAAGAAAGTAACTATATTCTCATTGCAAATGCTCATATTAAGTCCTAGAAGGACAAAGTCTATGGTAAGCTTAAAGCATATAGACAATCAGTTTCAAATAAACTTCTTGATAAAGAAGATGAGCAAATGATCATAAATTAGGAGGCAGGTGATCTAGAAGATCACATGACATAACACTTCATAAAATCTCATGAGAGATTGAGGTACCTGAAAATATGAATGAAGAGATCTCTATGTTATGTCATTATGAAAATATATTGAAACTGATATAAAATGTTTGTCGACGACATCTATGATAGCGCTAAGTATAGATGAGAATTTTAAGTCTGTCGAATACATACACAAAAATATTGGCCAAATGAAAGAGACACAATTCAAATAGAATTGGTTTCATATGAATGACATGTAGTTTTGAACATGTAGTTCAAACACTTGAAAGTATAAAGTCAATGGTATGTGCAATCAGTTTTCAATATCTTATATGTCTAGCATGACATGAAAACCTGATATGCATCTAAAGTCTATTATATGGCTTATATGACTTAACTTATTCGACAATCCATGAAGGATTTAAGTTGCTTGAAGCATATACAATTCTTGAGCTTGAAGTACCACATCCTCAGTGTAATTTGTGCATATATGTATCTTGCTATAATTATAAGCATGATAATACGATAGCGAGAATCTCTATGGAGATATTGAAGAGCCATTCCACGACATTATATGAAGACATTATATATCTATCAAGAATGATGATTTCAAGGTGCAATATATCCATTCAAGTTAATATGGTTGATTTGTTTATCAAATCTCTACCAAAGATCTCTTGAAGATGGTGCACAAGATTGGAATGCGAAGGCTCAAGGATGTGAATTGATGATCTCATCAGGGGGAGTTAATGCGCGTTGCACTCTTTTTCCCTTACAAGGTTTTGTCCCACTGGGTTTTTCTTGCAAAGTTTTTAACGAGGCAACCAAAAGGTGTATTGTTAGATATGTGTACTCTTTTTCCTTTTCTAGAATTTTTTCCCACTGGGTTTTATTTTAGTTAAGGTTTTAATGAGGCACATTATCTGTTGAATAGACATTCAAGGGGGAGTGTTATAAATAGAATTTTATTTATGGTGAATGTCTATATTTAGGGAGATTCTAGAGTTTATTACTTGGTGGCTAAGTCACCCTCTCCCTATTAATAGAGGGTTCTATTCCATTGTAATTCATCCCAAATCAATAAGAATTCTCTCTCTACTTTTATCTACAATACTATTCTTCTTCTTTTATTGTTTCATAACAATAATAATATAATATAGAAGAGAGAGAAGATTTGGTGTAAGAAATGATAAATGGTTGGAGTAAATTTGGTGTTACACCATTTTGGTGTGAAATTTGGTGCAAGAAATGGTGCTAGCCTTGGAGATGGCCTAAGGGGTCTTATATATAGAGAATAAAATCTGTCATGTGCTCCTATGGATGAGGGAATAATTCTCAGCCGGCCACCCCTAAATTTCGGGGGGGGGGGGGGGGGGGGGGACATCTTTTAAAACTGATAATGGACAGCTGTCTTATCCAGATATTCCCTATATGTTAGCCCTTTTATCTTCTGATTTTAACCTTTTTTACCCCAAAATTTGACTTAAACTCTGATTTTTATATGCACTTTAGTCCCTTCTAGAGACTTCAAACAACCAAACCAGATTCCCTAATTTTCCAAATTCTTTTGACCCCTTTAGCTTTTGTTAATTACAAACAACTAAACCAGAAGAGCAAACAAGTTCAACAATAGACTCAACTACCGTCCCCTTAAACTTCTCGTTAATGACAAGGGAGCCCTAATAATGGAACACACGGATCAGAATCAAAGCAAAATGCAAATAACTTATTTTAACATCTAATTTACTCACAATTGCTTAAACTTACAATTCATGCGATTAAACTGAATAACATCTAATTGGACTATTGGATAGACCTACAAAACACATACTAATCGACTTGATTTTCTTTAGGTATTAGAATCAGCTATATATAAATAAAAAAAACTAATGCAAAGCAACTCAAACATCTAAATGCTAAACAGAAATAAGAAGAAAGAATAATAACTAAAATCAAAATAAAAGAAGAAGAGGGAGATGAATATGAAGAAACAGATGGAAACTACAATGGAACAAAAAGGAGAATTATACCTGCCGAATTGAAAGAAGAAAACGGGTCGACCAATCAGAACTCGAACGGATTCGGGTGGCTTTGAGATGAACCAAAATTAACATTAATCAATTGTTCTTGTTAAGAACAATTGATCAATATAAACAAAACAAGTGACCTTGACAAAGAAAATCAGGGAAAAAAAGAACAATTTAGGTTTATTTTTTTGAATCTCAGATTTGAAATTAGTCGACCTTGATGAGGATTTTAGGAAAATTGGAGGGGGATTAGTTATGGAGGAAGGCTGAGGATTATCTGGTGAAAATTTGGGGTGATTTGGAGTGGCGCCGCCGCCAAACGATTTCCGGTGGGTGGCAGACGGCGATGACAGAGAGGAGAAAAGGGGGGGGGGGGTCTGTGAAGAGTATTACGGGTTTAGGAGGTCTCTTTCCGACATTTTTAAGGGATTTGGGGATCAGTTCTCAACCATCCGATCTTTCATGATGAACGACTGAGATGGCGTTAGTCAAAACAGAGTCGTTTGGTCCATTTAAAAGATTTGGACCGGTTGGGGGAAAGAACTGGGTTAGGCGAATTGGGTTTTGAGGGGATTTTGGGCCTAGAAAATGTTTTGGCCCAAATTCGGAACCAGACAAACTTCTCTTTCTTTCTTTCTTTCTTTCTTTTTTCTTGATTTTAAATCTTAATGAAATTAACTAAAAACCTAAATTAAGCCTAAATCAATATAACTTGTAAAATTAAAATTAATTATCTATTTCTAACATTAAAGTAACTAATTAACTTAAAACTAAAGAAAATAAAAATACTAATTTTAAAGACTAAAAGCTAAATATGTAAAAATGATCATTTTTGTGATTTTTGCTTAATAATGCAATTAACTCATATAATTAATTTCTAAATGCAAATAAACCTAAAATGTTGTGCAACGAATATTTTAGATATTTTTTTTTTGTATTTTCTTATAAATTTAAAATATTAAACATGCAACTAAATACAAACAACAACTAGCAAGAAATTTCTAACAATTCTATAAAAATTAAAATAATTAAAAACAAATATATTTTTTGTGAACTTGTAGGAGTATTTTCATAGGACAAAAATCACGCGCTCACAAGCCTAATATTTGAAGATCTTTAATATCATCTCTATTCTCATTGTGCATAAGTTTAACATTTTAAGAAATGCTCACTAAAGTTTAAGCTTTTTATTGGACTCAATATCTTTTGCAGCGTGTTAAAGTATTTACGCAAGGCATTCTGATTTCTTGATTATAATAATTCATGCCATATGGAGTCTAAACTTCAAACCGTTCCTTTAGAAGCAAAAAAAAAATTGTGTCAAACAATGAATTCTCTTATCTTTTCTATGTAAAATTTGAAAAGAAAAAACATTAATATTTAGGTATTTTTTGTCTATAATAACCAAATAATATTTAATACCAAGTGTTATTATAGGTATATATCAATCATTCATTATCAAAGTAAAAAAACATCAGAACAAACGAAGATGCTATAGAGAGGTCTGACCATAAAAGAACTACCGCGTTGTTGGAGTATTGATCCTATTTAGTATATCATTATGTCCCACCAGGCTAATATTACAGGTCGAAACTTTTCTACGGAAAGTAATTTTAGTATGTCTGCACAAAAATTTACATTGACAAACACGGGCGGAACTACTAGGATTCTTACCCTATCTAAAAACTTCTTGGCTGCTCATTCCTTTGCGAGCATATCATCTACTTGGTTCTGTTCTCTATAGCTATGACTAATGACTGGATTCCTCAGTCTCTCCACCAATAATATGCATTCAAAAATTAAAGCATCACAAGTCGGGTGGCCATTTTTTATCTGTAAATAATTGCGGGGCGAGAACAACATTAGCGTACCTGTCAACACAGTGGAAGAATTGTTGAACTCGCCATTAAAATAATTGCCCCAAGTCGAACTTTGGATCTCTTGGAAACAAAGTTAGAATTTCACGAACTAAATGCCTTCTTGTGTTGATTGGTTAGAGATTTTTTATCCCACTCTTACTTTTTATCTCTATTTTCTTTTAGAAAAGAAGAAAGCGTATGTTTATATAGAGAGGGAAGATAGCAGTTATGGGTAAACTGCTCCCACTATACTTAAACGTGTAGTAACCTCTTTGAAGAGTCCCACTACACTTAAACGTGTAGTAACCTCTCTTTAAAGAGGTTATTTTAAATCATATTTCTTCTAAAATTCTTTCTTTTCCAAATGGGTTGGGCCAGCCCTCATGGAGCGATCCGATACCCGGATCCATTATCCAACATCTCCCACTTCGCTCATGATGGGCTAGAACTCAAACCAATATCATGATTAAATAACACACTTAATTCATACAGACAAGTAGTTCGCGCGACTAGCGAGCATCAAGATCTATCATATGTTTCAAATCTAGTAAGGTTATTCTAAAACTCTATGTATAAATCCGATCATATTCAGAAAGGACTCACTATTATCATGAGGATCTTATTACTCGCTATACCCCACACATCACCTGCTACTCTAGTAGCTAGTTATTTAATCCCTCATCCTCGAAATAGGTGAACTCGAGTTCATGTTTAACTTTGTATTCATAATTACATCTGATAGCCTCATGGTAAGTGTAATGGTCGACCTATGAATACAAGTTAAATTACAAAAAAAACAAAAAAATATATTTATTTTTCTTCCCTTTCTACTCGAATCTTCCCATTTCAAATCAACTGCTTTCCTAGACATAACCTGCATTGCCGAATCACTCATGGCTATTAGTAACATGCTAAAGTAGCAAGACTGATTGACACTTCAAGAAACACAAAAGGTCAAAGGGTATTCTAATAAAAGTCAATGTAACTTCTTTGGGATCTCACACAATGAAGAAGCAGGGATTCATTCTTCCATTATCCCATGGTCGATAGCACACGTGGTATGAAACACATGTTACGTTGTTCTCACCTTATATTGGCGCGTGTGCCTTATTCTTTTAATCATTCAACACTGTACAAATCTTGGTCTAGACACCTCCAAATGTCTAACCCGAGTTTCTCACTTCAATAATCCTCAAACCATCTTCTTAGAGAAACTTGCATCTGGATTACAAAACAAGTTCATAATCGAATAGTGAAATTCGTAAGTCTGATTAGTTTTCAGACCGAACTCTACAAGTAAATATAACCTCACATAATCCAAGGTTCTATAAGGTCTCATCTTTTCACGATTCTTAACGTAAGAGGCGATTGTTCGTGTGAGAGAGCCAATCTCGCAACTTGTTCGACACCCTTTATCAACAAAACATTCATCACATGCATATGAGATATAAGCATAAATTCAAGAGCCAAAGTACATAAATATGTTCATATCCTTCACAAACCTAGAGCCATAACATGTTTCTCAAACAGGTCTCTAGATATCGCCTTTGTAAAAGGATCAGCTATCATGCTTTGCGTAGGAATGTATTGTAAATTTATCTCTCCACTTGCTACCATGTCTCTCACAAAGTTATACTGGATGTCAATGTGTTTGGTCTTGCTGTGATACTTAGGATCTTTTGTATATGCAATAGCCACTTGACTATCACAATATAGAGTCATGGAGTCCTCAGAGTTCTTTGTAATTTCCAAATGCTCAAAGAATCTCTTCAACCAAACAGCTTCTTGTACTGCAGCTGCACAGGCCACGAACTCAGCTTCCATCATTGAAAAGGTTGTAAACGTTTGTTTCTTATTTTTCCATGATATAGCACCACCATTGAGTAAGAAGGCATAACCCGATGTTGATTTTCTATCATCCGGTTACCAGCCCAATCAACATCTATATATCCTCTTAAGTATAAATCATTTCCACTATAACATAGTGAATAATCTGCAGTTCCCTTCAGGTATCTGATAATTCTCTTCACAGTTTTCCAATGATATCTTTCCGGATTGGATTGATACCTGCTAACCAGACCTACAGCATAACAAATGTCTGGGCGAGTACACATCATAGCGTACATCAAGCTTCCGACAACACTTGAATATGGAACTCGAGACATGTCTTTCATTTTATTTTTAGTCTTGGGACATATTAAGGTTGTGGGTTAGGAGGTAGTTGAGCATATTTAGTCTTCCAATGTGAGGCTAGGATGATAGGATTTAGTCTTAGACTGCTAGTGGTCAGTGCTGTGTTTACACTACTCTTCCATTTTCATAGTGCCGGGCATTATTTACCGGTCATTATTTAAGTATCTCATATATTCACCGGTTCTTATGTTGTGTTATTATTTTCATGATGGTACCGATATATTTGCTCTTTTTCTCTTTTCGTCTTCTTGAGCCGAGGGTTTATTGGAAATAGCCTCTCTACCCCATCGGGGTAAAGGTAAGATCTGCGTACACACTACCCTCCCCAGACCCCACTTGTGGGACTATACTGGGTCGTCATTGTTGTTGTTATTGTTGTTTCTTGAGATAGACTCAATAACTTTTTGGCACGGTCTCTTTGGATCTTAACTCCAAGGATATAGTCTGCCTCACCCATATCTTTCATGTCGAATGACTTTGAAAGCCATGACTTGATAGTTTCAAATACTCCAAATTGTTTTCATCCAATAAAATATCGTCCACATAAATAGAAAGAATTACAAACATCCCATTGGACTTCTTCACATAAATGCAATGGTCTTCATTGATCATGGTGAGATCATATGAGATCACCTCCTTGTGAAATCTCAAATACCATTGCCTTGAAGATTGCTTCAGGCTATAAATAGATCTTTTCAATTTACAGACCTTCTTTTCTTGCCCTTTAACGAGAAGCCTGTAGGTTGTTCCATGTAGATTTCTTCGTTAGTTCTCCATTGAGAAAAGTTGTCTTCACGTCCATTTGATGTAATTCTAAATCCATATGTGCCAATAGCCAAAAGTAAGCGAATTGAGGTAAACTTCACAACATGTGAAAATGTTTCCTTATAATCTATTCCAACTTCTTGAGTAAAGCCTTTTGCCACTGATCGTTCCTTGTATCTTTCAATTGACCCATCCATTTTGAATTTAACTTTGAGAACCCATTTGTTCCCAATGGCTCTACGCCTAGGCGGAAGGTCAACTAGATCCCAGACGTTGTTGGTTTTCATGGACTCTAATTCTTCTTTCATTGCTTTCATCCACTCATCTTTTCCAAGGCTCGATAAAGCCTCAGTCACAGACTTTGGCTCATCCATTTCTATGGGAGATACCAAGAAAACATAATCTTCAATTGTGACGACCCAAAGGGTCATCACCTATTTCCTCATCCACTCCGTGCTTCCGAGGTCTTGAAAACCTCATTTTTACTTGCCTCGATTTGCGTGTGCAGTCCGGGTGTGTAGCCGGAAGGCTTAAATATGAATTCTGTGTGAAAAATGATGAGTTTTGATATTAATATGATTAAA